AGAGAGAGAGAGAGAGAGAGAGAGAGGTGGTGTGTGACAGGCTTTGAGGGTGTGACGGGGTGACAGGTTTTTATGGTGGGGTGGGTCCCATGGATGGTTAGTATATTAGCCATTAGATCGTATGATCTAATGGATAATATTTATTCTTATTTCTTTTATTGAATACTATTCTCATCGGAGTGCGACTCTAAATGTATATATATATATGTGTGTGTGTGTGTGTGTGTGTGTGTGTGTGTATGTATGAAAGTGCGCTCAAATGAGAATGAAACTCAATGAAAAAAATGAGAATTAATCTCGACCAGTAAATACATCATATTAATGACCATGATCAAGTCAAAATTAATAAATAATTGTCAATCTTTTTTTTTTTACGAAATGATAGGAATATTATAAATCAAAAAACACAAATGTGCGAATACAAATCAGTCAACGGCTGAATACACAACAGCCAACAGCTGAAAAAAGTGGGAGGACAGGTCAGAAAACTGCCTAGAATCCTGGCTAGCAACGCTAGAATAAAAAAACACACATGACTAAACTAACCAACAACACAAACAACTACAAGACCCCAATAGGGTAATACCCGAGTGTCGGACTCCAACAGGGTAATAAGGTGACACTCGGGTGCACAGAGGCCAACGGCCCAAACCAAAAACACAAAACCAAAGACAAAACAAAACGAAACTAGATAACACATAACAAACACACTCTAAACAAAACGAAACTAGACAAAACAAAACAACAACGAGAGCTCTTCCCACAGCAGAAAGCCACGCCGAGCACACTAATGGCAGAGTCGTAGCCCAAGATCCCGACCCAGAAACTGCAAGAGAACGCCTAACTGAATAGAAGACCCACAGGTTGGCTCAACCGGTGATTGCCGAGGACTCCGAACCATAAGCAAAGCAGCTCAGCTCGTCAATCGTCGACAACCGCACCTCCAAAACATAGCTCCGACCCAACGATTGCCGACGACCCCACATCCTACGCTCAGCCCTAGCTCTGCAATTGCTGACTACCCCGAATTTTGAGCAGAGCAGCTCAGCCCGTCAGTCTAACAATCGTCAACAACCACACCTCCAAATCACAGCATCAACCCTGCAGTCGTCGGCGACCGCTGAAACAGGCCGAGAAGAACCAAATTGACCGGATCCCTTTCTCTACCTCAAATCCTAAATCAGAAATTGGGGTCGCAGCCCCGTCCAAGAGAGCGCCAGAGGGCCACCGATATGGAGAAACCGGAGGAGAACCATCCACCCGCAACTCACTCTCGGCACCGGAGGCAGAAGCTGAAAAGCAGGCATGACCGTCTCCTCGATGAAAAAGCTCCCCCTCTCCCATGCGGCACTATTCTCAGAAACGGGCTGCGAGGCTCAGGAGAGCCATCACCGTGCACTCGCGGCGCCCTACGGGGAAGGCCACGGATTACCGACGGGAACCGCGAGGAGAGATGAGAGGAAAGGGTGACGAAAGCGATGAGATTTTGTTTCCTTATATAAATAATGATCAATCATTAATTGCAATATGATAAATATGTAGATATATGGTGGTTAAATATATACCACTTACCACTAATTAAGTGTACATTTGTAATTAATCCACTCAACCCCACTTATCTCTCTCTCTCTCTCTCTCTCTCTCTCTC